TATTTGAGATATTATTATAATATCTAAAAAAATAACTAGTTTAAAAAGTTATTTTTTATAGAATTTATATATAATAATTTGAAATATTAGATTTTATAAAATATATCTTTTTATATATATTATAGATATTACTTTTAATTTCTATTGAATTCTGAGAATAGAATTATAGAAAAAATACTAGCTATATATAAAAGACTAAAAACTTTTAAAATAAATAGAAAAAGCTTAAAGATTTATAGTATTATATATAAAATAACTAGAAAATCTATTATAATAGATATTAGTTAGCTAAATACTATTTTAAAAAAGCTTAAATAATACTATTAATAAAAAATATTAAATTTAAAATAAAGAAACTTAAACTAAAATTTATAAATCTATTTAGAATTCTTAAATATATTAGTAATTTAATATATAAATTAGAACTACTAAATATATATAATTATTTATATTTAACTTTTTATATTTCTTTTTTTAAAAAATATATAATAAAAAAAGATTAGAAGCTATATTTATATCTTTCCGAAAAACTTCTAGAATTAGTAAATAATAATAAAAAATAAGAATAGAAAGTAGAAGCTATTATTAATTATTAATAAAATAATAGAAATAAGAAGTAATAGTATTTAATTAAATAAAAAGCCTAGTCTAAAAATTATAATATCTAGTTATTTGTTTTTTCTAATTTTAAAAATTCTAAAAAACTTCTAAAATTATATAATTAAAATTATAGTTTAAAATCTAAAACTATCTTTTAATAATCTTTTAAGATTAAAAAGAATTCTAAACTACTAAGAAAAAGGCTATTTAAAAGAAAGAGAAAATCTAAATAGCTAAAAAAAGGCCTGAAATAGTAATAGAGATATTTTTTCTCTAGGGTTTTTTTATTTATAAAGGTTTTCTAAAGTTTTATTAATACTTATAAGAATTATATAGGAATTATTAGTGTATTTAAAGATAATTCTCTTAATTCTATAGGGATTCTAGTTCTAGTAACTATAATTATATTATTATACACCTCCTATTAGCCCAATAAATACTACCCTTGAGAACTTTATATATCCTTGTATAAACCAATAACAAGACAAGGAAAACATACTCAATAGGTAGTATAAAGAGAAAGGAAAACGTATATAATAGGATAGTTAAAGACAAAGGAAATACAAAATCCCAGCGAAATAACTACCCAGCCCTAGCCAATTATAGAAATATTAGCACCAGCGGTCCGGACCATATAATCGTACCGAGGTTATTAATTACTTGTAAAAGATATAACTAGATACGCTTATCTTATTAATAGCAAAGGTATTTATAGTAAATAAAAATATATATATACGAAAATACCATAATAGTACTTGAAGACGCAAGGGGAGAAGATATCTCGTATCCGTAATAAAACGAATTTGCAACAAGATACTATAGGTATAGTAGATATATAGTGAATTAGCACTTGACTTTCTTAACAGGAGTTCCTTTGCAATAATCGAGAATCATTCGGACTTTATTAAATATCAGAAGTATATTAATAGAGGACTAGTTATACTACTTGCGCTTTGGCTTCTTGGATAATAATAGGTATCCGTACCTATATAGAGATAGTATAGATAATTCGGAATCCGACTCGGAAGACAATACGAAGGATAATAAATCGGATGGAATTATAATAGGCTTCTTTATCTTTTACTTCTTTTTACTATATTTCTTATTGAATTTTACCGTCTTACACTTCTATAATATTATAAAGTCGCCGCCTATATATTTCCGAAGCTTGCAAAGATTATCTTCCTGGGGAGATATGCCTGCCTTTATTATATTTAATATATAATAATATATACGGCTTTATAAAGATACCGCTAATTAGCCCTTCTTTAGTAGTACTTTTCCTTGGGTATAGTCGGACTCGTCAGACGATTACTTAATCTTGGTATTCTTAGTTACATACTAAAAACATCGAGGGTTAACGGCTTTATTATCCTTTACAGAGGATATTTCGATCTCCTTAGCTTTGCCTTTGGAATTAGCCTTGATTCGCAGGATATCGGCCGAGGAATTATCGGAATTATTAACCGTCGCCTTCTTTATAGGTGGTTTCTCGCTTACTGCCTTCCTGCTTCCCGGGGGGCAACTATACTTCCTCTTATTACCTATTACAATAGGTTCTTTATTGGACGGAATAGCTCTGGTAGGATCGGTAACGGATTGGTCGTTAATATATAGTAGGTAGTCCCGTTCGGAGAGAAGATACAGGTAATTAATAATAAGGTATAGATGGATATATGGGTTATAGGCTTAATAGGTTTTAAAGTACTCGAGATATTATTTATTAGGGAATAGACCGATCTCTGGTATATATAAGTAATTCTCATTATTCTCGGCTTATAATAGCTTGTAGCCGATAATTAGGATACCGCTATACCGGCAAGAAGTACTTATATAGTACAAATATATAAGATTTAAGATATATAATATAGAAGCAAATACAAGTACTATAAGTACGAATAAGGGAAAGGTTTATTAATAGACATGGTATACATAACGGATTAAGGGTTAATAAGTTAAGGTAGTAGTAAATTTGAGTATTAATAATACTTTTAATACTACTAATAGAACCGAACCCTTATATAAGGGAGAGCTTACAAACGCCGTATCGAGATACGAGCTCTTCGATATAAGACCGGCAAGGCTACTAGTTTTTCTTTATATTCCATAATAAGCTCACATACGTCTTAGAGAAGTTCCAGAGGATACTAGTTATTATACTAATTTCCGTAGCCCTTAAACTTAATAAGGTATTCGATATTATTTCTTCCTCTATATTATATAGTTTACTAATCTACTATTCTCTCTAGTTCATATAACTTCTAGTTATTATTATTGCCCTTATTCTTAATAGGTTCCTAAGGATCGGCAATTAGTCTCTCAAAGGGGTCATTACTATTAGGGGCTAGTACCAGATAAGTAATAGATATTACGGCATAAATCTTCTAATATAGTAGTAAGTCCAATTCATATACAAGCTTTCCGATTCTCTTCTTAATTTTAAAAGGGCCTGTTCTCTATTCGGATATCTTATGGTTTGGCTTTCCGGATAGCTGGTATCCCTTATATAGTCTCAGGTATACTATCTCACTAATATTTAGTTCGACGGAAATATAACGGGAATCATAATATTCCTTAGTAGTATTCCCGGCAAATATAATAGCTAATTCTATATTAATATATCTCAGGTTCCAAATAACCTCTGGAATCTTATTATTATCCGGTATTAAAAGAGATATAGACATATTTGCCTTATTTCCCTATATAACCTTATTAGGGCTATAGCTAATTAGGTATAATAGAGTATTATTAAAAGCTACTTAGAGCGAGATTACTTCCCCAGACCATAGTAGATCCGGGAACTCGTATACTTGATACCGAATAGTGATTTCGATATTTTAATTCTTGATTTCGGACTAACCGTCTGCTTACAGGTACCAAGTAATTATGAATAGTAGCTTTACGTTTATAGTTAACTAAATCGCCTTCTATAGGTCGGAAACGAACTTGGGGTTACGATCCGAAATAAATATATACAGGATTCCCTAGTTATAGAATAAAAGCATACGGATCAGAATAATAGCCTATTATTTAGTATTATATATATTATAACCTGGGATAAGAAGTGATTTCTTACTAAATTTGCAGGTATCTATTATTATATAATTAAAGATACTAAAACCGTTAATTAACCAGAAAGCGACTATAGGAATCTCTAGTAAGGCCAGGATAAAGTTTATAGTAACCGTATAAAACGGGATTAGCGGTATAATAATGGGTTATAAAGCGCCGTTCGGTCGTATTCTTAATATATTATTTACTAGGTAGCTAGGGCAAAATCTAATATAATTAAGGACTTTCTTTATTAGACGAGAAATACAGAAACCGCAAAGCTTATTATAAGTATAATTAAAACCGAAGTACTAGTTATTATAGACTATAGATAGTAGTACCTTTATATAGGTATTTGGAATATATAATTATAGGGCAGCTATAAGCGAGATATAGTAAAGAAGACCGTTTTTGATTATAAAGTTAATACCATATACTTGGGGGCTAAAATCGCCTTCTAGTACTGAGTTGTGAAACCCAAGTAATTACAGGATACAAGCGAAATAGGAGTCCGTTAAATATCTGCTATAAAGTATATCTTTGAAATCGTTACTAATACTTAATTCGGAGAAGGCATATATATTATCTAGCTTATTATTATTAGAGATATCCGCAGATTCGAATATAGTAAGACGGGATAATATATCAGGAATAATATTTAATTTACCGGGGATATACCAAATATCGAGTCGGTATTAGGACAAGTACTATAAAGCAATAATAAATCTCATATTTGCCTTACTTATATCATTTATTACTAGTAATATCTAATTATAGATATCTTATATAGCTATATAATTAGTCAAAATAATAACTGGATCCTGGGCTAATTAGAGTATTACCTGTAATCTATAACAGGTATATAGCAGATATACCACTTTAAGCTTAATAGATCTATAGTTCTTTTCCGCCGTATTTAGTAATTTACTAAGAAATAGAATTGGTTAAATAGCCATTAATATAATTTTACTAAGATTAGAAGAGATAGTATAGCCCTACTTGAGATAAAAGGCAAGAATACTAAAACCTTTCTCGTTCGAAACATTAATCTTTAAGTATAGCTATCTTACTAAATTATAATAAATTAATATCTTAGGGTCTAAGAGATAAGCCTTAACGGATTCGAATAATATAATCTCCTTTTTATTAGGTTCCCATCTGGTTCTCGCTATATAACCTTTTCTCTTTATACCGGTTATATCCTCTTCTCTACTAATTACAAGTAGTTTAGTCTTTCTCTTTTACAGAGGTTCAATAATTTTCGTATAGTATAGTATAAATTAGTAAAGCCAACTAGCCATTCTAATGAAATACTCGAGCTATTAAAGATTCTCTGGGAATTAAATAGCTTTTATTGCGGCTATATATTCCTCGGTTATACTTATTCCGAAACCGTTAACCCGATAACCAAATAGCTTAATAGAGGGGTATCCCAGAAATGTCTTTTTCCCTGAAAGCAAGATTCGCTTTTCCTTGAAAAAGGCTAGAATAGTACAAAGGTATTAAATATAATTCTCCTATAATTTAGAGAATACCATAATATTATTAATAAAATAATAGCAAAAGTGGCTATATCCTTTTAGAAGATTATCTATAAAACACTAAACATATACCGGTAATCCATAGTAGCCCATAAATATAATACAGGAGGTTTCTTGTCCTCGGTAGGAAATTACTATAAAATATTCTTAATACTTTTTTTTAATAAGGAATTAGTAGAAGAATAATAATACATCTATAATAGAAATATAGCTAGCCCCCCTAAGTATATTAATAATATCCTGCTATAATAGTATCGGATAGTTATTAGGAATCTTGAGGCTATTAAGTACCCTCAGGTTAATAACTAAACATCCCTTGGGCTTCCCGTTAATATTCTTTCAGACAACAAATACGGGCCAACCGAAGGGTATAGCTCCTTGCAGGAAGTATATCTTATTCTGGGTATAAAGACTATTAAATACTTTATTAATAACCTAATAATTACATACTCCGACCGGATAGATCTTATATCTAATCTTCTTCTCTTACTAACTATTAATAAAGGGGATCTCTATATACTTATTCTCTAGTATATTAATTAGGGATCCTTTATTCTCCTAATAATTCTGGAATTTAACCACAATAGCCTCGATATAATTAGTAAGTACTAGGCTCTTTATATAGATATAGATATTATTTCCGAGAAGTTTCTCGGGCACTTCTATAGGCTTTATAATACCTATACCCTTTATTAATCTGGGTAAGGCCGGAGAACTCGTAGTATTATTATTAAGCTTAGTATAAGAGATAATATAATAACCTTCTTCTTTAAAGTCTCAAATCATATCTAGTTATATATAATAAGGAATTATTTGCGACTTATTTATAGTATTTATATAAGTAACATAGTTCCTATAGTCGGTTAGTATATTGTAAATACCGTTAAAGCAGGTATTCATAATATAATTACGTCCTAATAGCAGTATTATACAGGTTATATTAATACAAACTATAGCTTCTAGTAAAACAATAACCTTCTTCTTAGTAAGAACCTTATAGGTAACTCTGGTACCTCGGTTATATACCTTAATAGGGACTTCCAGATTATTAATAGTACTAAAGGTAATAGTTTGGCCGGGTAAGTCTATAACTATACTATACAGAATAAGGAATATATTACCTAAGAGAAATAATAGCTCAAGGTTATCTATTACTTATATATTAATAGTAACTTTACTAAGAATCTAGTAACCATTAACCTTTCCGCAGATATATATATTAAAGGTAGCCTAGCCTCGAAGCTTCTAAATAGAAGTAATACCCTTAATAATAGTAGCCTTTATTATATTAATCCAAGCGGATAGGTTCTAAAAAAGCCATTTATAATCTACTAGTAGGTAAGAGTAGCCGGTATTTATACAGATCTGGAATACCTTACTATCGGGTATAAATTTAATACTTAGAGTAGTATACTTATACCTAATAATATCGGATATTATAGGGCTTTAAATAGGGCTTACTATAATAACTTCCGGATAAGATAAGTTAATACTAGTAGACTAGGGTACCTGGGGCAACTTATTTATAATAGAGTTCTCAATAATAGACAAGTATAAATTAGTATATACATATTTAAAGAGCTTATTCCGGGACTCGAATCTAGCTTTATATTTCCTATAAACTAGTACCGGTATAGAGGCTAATATTACTGGAATTATAATATATATATTGTCCTCCGGTTTAGAATCAAGCTTCTCTAAGAAAATATAGCCGTATTTAGTAAGCTTATTATTATATTAGGTACCGTATTCCTTGGTAATATCGAGGTAATTGTCTTTAATAATATTTCTACTATTAAAACACCGGAAATATTAGTAATATAGATTATTATTTAATTCCTTTCTCAAGGATAATATATTAAAGAAAGTATAATTATTTCTGCTTTCCTTATTCTTATTTTTTGTGAACCCTGTAGTTAGCTATAGATATAGACGGAAAGAAGGCAAGGCCTTCTAATTATTCTTTTATATTAAATTAGCTAAATCCTGAGAAGTTCCTAAGGATTATTACTAGAACTATTAGAATAGGGTTCTGAGATTAGAAAAAGGGTAATAGGATCGGAAATTCATGTTTGGATAGAAGAATTAAACTAGTTAATAATTCCGATTATAATTACAATTATTTCATTCCTGGTAAAAAAGTTATAAATTACCTATAAGATAATAATTAGGTCTAAGTAGTACTTATAGTCTATTATTCTTTTAATATATCTCCGATTATAAGTCCTACTTTAATAATACTATATCTATAAATTATCTAAGTATAGTATTCTTAGTAGGTTATTTAATATATACCCTGAGCTCTAGGGCCAAATTATTCCATACTTAAAAGAGCTATTAAACTGGCTTTTCAAACTCGGCGGCCTTAGTATATTAAACTATAGAGGCTATATAGGAACGAATATTCTTGCTATTTCTTATATTATCTATAGTATAGGTTTCTAGCTATAGCTTTCTTAGTATAATTAATAGTAGGTCCTTAAATTATTAGATTAAGGCTTTTATCTACTATTTAATACCGTCTTAGGAGAACTTAAGTCCTGCTTAATAAAGGTTATCTAGCTTACTAGTATATTACTCGAGTACTAATTCTCTCAGGTATATAACAAGATTCTGGTATACTATAATAGTATATTTACTAGTTATATTATCCTTAATTATATCTATAAAGAAATACATATTTCACTAGTATATATTATTTCCTACTAATATATAGTCTCTTTCTCCTTTAGATAGTATAAGATCCGGGTTAAAGTAGCCAATATTAGAAGCTCTCTATTATATATCTATAAGATTATATTAATTTACCGGGGGTAGGGATAGTATTTCTTCGTTTCCTGCTCCTTATATATACTATCTAAGAGCGGTAGTAACTATATTAGTAATTATAGCCGCCATATTCTCTCTAGAGAGGGATTTACCTATAGTTTACAGAGAAACTCGGTATATCTTTTCTATTCTGTCTAATTCTCGCAAATCCTCTCTTCGTTTACTAGTACTTCGTTTACCGGTACTACATTCGCCGGTGTTTCGTACGGTATTTGTGGCAGGTAGTGAAATATACCCCGCACCTTCCCAATCTCCGGGGATATTATACAAAGAAGTCTAAGAAGCTATTAAGAACTCGGGAATCTTGCATATTTGCACTGAGAATTCTCATAGGGTCTTTCTAAAAAGAGACTTATTAACGGCCCAGTTACAGGAGAAGGAACTTGGTTCTATAGAGTATTAGCTACTTGATACAGAGGAGGTTAAGGCTTCTCGTTAAGGGTAATAAGCAGTAATTCTCTCGATTGCCTTACAATCTATTATACTAATCTCCTTGGATAGGGCGTAATTTAATACAAGAAAGGAGCGGAATTAATAAGCTTTCTTAATAAGTTTGCTAGACAAATTATCTATTAGTAGGTAATATATACTAAAGAGCTAAATAACTCGTATAATTGCAACCGAGTCGGGTTATACTAGGGGCACTATATATGGTATCCGGACCTAAAATAAAGGCCTGGAATAGTATTATAGGGCTTAAATAAAGCCTATAATAATAGTATATAAGGCATTACTACTATTTATAGGAATTATTAGTATATTTAAAGATAATTCTCTTAATTCTATAGGAATTCTAGTTCTAATAACTATAATTATATTATTATACACCTCCCATTAGCCTAATAAATTATATTTAAATTATTAGAAAAAAATTTAGAATTAAAAAAAGTTTATTATAGGTAAATTAGTTATAAATATCTCAAATAAATAAACTTTAATTTCTATAAATTTCTAATTTCTAAAATAAAAATACTAAATACTAGCTCTATTTAGAACTTAATAAAGAATTAACTAATACTTTCTAGACTCTATTTATTTCTTAATAGAATATAGTTATATTATAATAATATTAGTATTAAAGATATTAAAAAAAGTAAATAAAGAACTTATAATAGCTATATATATCTTATAAAAAACTCGAACTTCTAAAGTTAGATCTTAAATAGCTATAAATATTATATTATTAATACTTGAAATATTAGTAGTAAACTATTTAGTAATCTTAATAATAAGTTTAATAATAAGATTAATATCTTAAAAATAAATATTATAGTATTTCTTTAAAGAATTAATAAGTATCTAAATATATTAGAAAAAAGTTACTTTTAGAATACTAACTTAAATAGTATTATTATCTGTTTTATTAAGATAGAAAGAAGAATTCTGAAACTTATTAAAGTTCTTTTAGTTTTTAAAAACCTAATTAATAGTATTATTTTTATTAGTATAATACTATTTAAGATATATTTCAAGAAATTTCTTAAAGGTTATAATAGTATTTTTCTAGAACTAGTAAGCCTCTAATAAATAATAAATAATCTGAAATTATATTAGCTATAACAAATATTAAAGCTAAAGAATTTACTAATATATAAAACTTAGAACCTTTATTATAATAGTTATAATTCTTTTTACTAAATATTATAATATATAAAATAAAGGAATTAATAAGTAAATACTTGAAATATTTCAAATATTTATTAGTAATAGAAAGAAAAACTATAAGATTACTTTTATATTTATTATTATATAAATAGATAATAAAGCTAGAAGAAAATATTATAGAATTAATTAAAAATAAATAAAAAAGATTTAAAGAAGAATAGAAAAAGAGGTTAGAAAGTAATAATAGAAAAAATTATTATATATATAGTTATTAGAAAAAAAGAGAATATATAGTAATATAAAAAGGTTCTTTTATAGAAATAGAGAATTATCTGAATTAACTACTAGTTTTTTTACTAGTTCTAATTAGAAATTAATATAACTAATTAATATATATTTTTAGAAGCCTATAAATAATCTCTAGAATTTTAGAAATATTTATATAAGTTTCTTATATAAATATTTATTAAATTCTTTCTATATAGCTATTATAGTATAGTAGATTATATTTATTAAAAATTATATTA